AGTACCTCTCATTTTTATTATTGGACGTACGAAAGGGAACATTGTGCGTGTTACCGGTAGAAAGTGAACTATAGTACATGCCAAAAAAGAAGATAATAGGTGGCGCTTCTTCTGAAGTAATTTTTACACTGACGGAATAAATATATGACGCCTAACACAAACTGTCGAAATAAATATATGACGTCTAACACAAACTGATGGTAAAATTTTGATGTATGAATAACTTTCAATTCGAGTTTTATCTCAGAATTCATTGGAACATGAAAAAATACGACAAATAATCGAAATCTTATAATGTGAAGTCATAATATTAACCAATACAAGCGTATGTCAACGCTTGCCTATGATTTCCAATGCTGTATAGTATTGATATTATAGATACTATCGATAAATCTTTATTATCAATATTATCGAAAACTCGATAATTTTTTATCTGAATTATTATCGATACATTTGCACACCCCTACTGCATATATTTGGTTTGTTATAATTCATTCCCGTGCCTATGCATGATTTATACTTCATAGCATGTATAAATCGAGGTCATCTGATGGATATGTGCAGATACCCGAAATTTTATAATCTGAGACCGAATCGTCGAAGAATTTGCATACAAATTATTCAAATATCTTCACAGCAATTTTTCGAGCCATCTATGAACATTATTTTGGTCAAAGAAGTCGTTATTGAAGTATGACCAGTTAACACTAAAACATCCACTACACAAATTCTTCATTCATTGAACTACCTATTTGGGATTCCTATCAGAGCGTCTACAGCGTTATTTTTGTTTTTGTGGTGAAGGTGAAATTCTAACCTGTATTGTTACTTTATGGCTTTATCTTTCGGTTATGGTTTATTTTTCTCTTATGTGTTTAACTTAGTTTCATTAATTTGTTATTAACATTAATCTGGTAGTTGTTTTTTGAGAACCTTTAGTAGTTTAGTGGTGCAATGGGTATTATAGGGTCTAGTGGGACAAGACGGAAGGAGGCAGAATAAATCGGTGGCCAAGGTGGCTCAGATATTGGGGACCACAGAACAATTTGTGAACGAACACGTTGGATATCCGAAACAGGTTTGTTTTTACTCAGCTTAATTGAATCGAAATATGGAGGTAATTACAAAATGTGATAGAAACGTTAATGTAGAATTTTAAGCAAGTGACTAGGTGTCAAAAAACAGCAGGTAATTCAAACTTATTTAGAATAATTATTTAAAATTATATCCTATTTTTTCGTTCAATACAGTATAAAAAACATATTCTGCTATGACATGGCAATTATCAATCATAATGCCATTGATAATACGTTTTCTCCTTTGTGTTATTGAATGGTCGTTTTGTTCATATTGGATAATTGTCTTGAAGACTGCAACTCGACCTGAAATGCTGCTAGCAAAATTATGACTGTGTGATCGCTTGCTATGATAAGCGATGGGTATAGCTAAGCAACAGTGCTTTCAATATTCAGTCAGAAACTTGATCGGCAAAATACTAGGTGTTGATATATTAAGTATGACATTATATTTCATGGCTAAACAAACACAATTATTAGTCGGCTTCAACTTTAACAAAGGTATACGTGTGATGCCGAATATACAGGTTGTTTATCGAATCGTTACATATAGGATATTAAGAAAGGATGACATTGACAACATAGCGGAGACCAACGCTCACTGTTAAAAAGATTACGATAGCCGAGAAATGTTGTCATTCACGGCCATTCGCATGCACATAGGGTGTCCCGTGACTCGATGCCCATAGCTTAAGGGCATATTGAACAATTTCCAGTCGAAAGTGCCTTATACACTTTTGTCCAAAACTCCATAGTCGAGGAGTGATAGGCAATATTATATTTAACTGAGTGTGTAGATGTAGAATGGAGTGATGAGAATGTTGAATAAAGTAATGAAATATTTTTTGAATTGAGAATTTTTATATTACTTCACAAATAGGCGGCTCGGTGGTCGAGAGCGTGAAGGCGCTGAGTTCGTATGGGGACTCCCACCGAGACATAGGTTCGAATCCTATGTTCTGTTTTCACCACCATAAATTCATAGTTGTATTGTGTTGTAATTGTTAGTTGATAATATTCATTCTTAATGTTATTTTAATACTATTCACTAAACTCATCCTCCCTGTATGTCTGCTTTCGCGAGTCCGAGAGTTTAATGTTAAGGCCGCCGCGAGCGCCCCCTGAACTTTTTGGGTATAACAAGTGAAAAGGACAGACGATTTTTGACTTCGACAGCTACCGCAACCACGTTTTGTTGTTGTCGATTCAATCAATTTGACTCTCATGTTTTCCCACTGATCTTGATATATTCAGATCAACTTTCATCTCATCATTGATCTTATGATCTAACAATTCAGTGATTTCCCACCAATCTTAGTTAAGTGATTTGGCGCGTATTTTAGTGACGTGTAACAGGACAAATTAGGTGCGTGTTACCGAACTATCCTGTGCTTCTGCTTTACTGCCGGCCGGCTGCAGTTACGTGTGGTTATGTCGTTGGAAGAAAACTCGGTAAGAACATCAAACTCTCACGCACAACGCATACATCAAAAGCAGTCCACTAAAAGTCAAGTGAACCTATTCCCGCTTACAGCGAAAAAGGGATATTCACAAAACATCCTAGTTAGGCCATGGATGTTTGTGTTTGTATGCTTACCTAACCCCGTACAAGTTTCGACTTATGGGGCGTTTGGTCCCAGTGCTGGGATCAACGAGGTAACGCAGAAAAAAGAAAAAGAAAGAAAAAAAATTCAATTGAAATTTTTGTTTAAAATCTACCTCCTATGCTTCACAATCACAACACATTCGTGCTCTTCTAATTATCGTCCCGTAAGGATGCAGCTGCAGTCATGAATTTTTGAATTAGCTCATCTCTGGTTTGTGGTTTACTTGAATTCACTAGACATTTCATGTGTTCCCAAAGATAATAGTCGAGAGGCGTTAGGTCAGGTGACCACCAAAGAACTGGACCACCTCTTGCAATCCATCGGTGAGAAAAGTTGTTATTCAATTATGCTCATAACTCCTCAACTATCAAGTTTTTGACAAGTGTGTATGAGGTACTTTTGACTTGAAATTGTTCAAGGAATGTGCCTTCAAGCTTTGGGCATTGAGTCACGGGACACCTTGTATATAAGGAATCGGCAAACAACCTGTATTTCTTGCTCTGTATAGGTGAAGTTTTTCATAAATATCAGGTACATGGGCAACACTTGAAAGTTGAAACTGAAATACTCTGTATTGAAATTACAACTAACCATATTTATCATTTTTGTACATAGATATCAGACTATTAATACGATTTCATATCTCATTCATCAAAATAACCCATAAATCAGAGCTATCCTAGTCATTTATTCATTATTTCGACGATCAAGCTATCATTCATACGTTTGAGTGTAAGAAACTATTTTTAAACCCTTGGTGGGGTAACTATTTGTTTTGTGACTGAATAATGTCTAGATTATTGAATAAAAACATGCATTTATTCATTAGTTACAAGAATAATGATCCACAAGATGGCGTTGAACAATCTTATATTCGATGTAAAGTGTTGGTAATAAAGGAGAAATACATCATAACCATATGTATCCAATGCAAATTTGTCACTGTTTAATGAATATTTCACAAAACAAACTCTTGATCCAAGAATTGTCAATTGACTGCTAATCTATATAGTTTTTTCAATGGAATGAATGCCATAGAATGCATACAAATTATATGAATATAACTTTTGAGCATTCGTTTCCCGCTCCTTTTTGGTTCTTCATGTGATCTTAACTGAAACTCAGCAGTCTTGTTTAAACACAGTATTTATCTATTGAAATCAAAATCATATAGAGTTCAACTGTTCAGAATATATACTGATTTTTCCGTACTATTTTCTCTAATGCTGCATATTTTGAAGAAGACTCCCACACGGTCCGACCGCTCCTTAATTTAGAGTTGGGGAATTTTCCGACCGTAAGATATAGTTTCGTTCGAGCCGGTCGAGAATAAAAATCTTGGATTCAAATAGGAGTGATGAACAATGACCTTGATTCAACAAATGGCACGACGACGCTAGTTCTCAGTTTTACGCTAAACGTGACCGGTTTGGAGAAGTTGGTTGACGAGTATGCGCAGTGCATGTATCATACTGGGCCGGCCTTGGATAATTTCAAACATACCACATAATAATAATTATAATGTTTATTGCAACAGATAATGATACATTATATAGGTACATGATATATCGAATCTGTTACATACATAGTATGCATAGCATATTTACATATGCACCTGTTGATGATAAATTAATAAATAAAACACAGGATATAACAAATACACTAAATTTAAAACAGTAGACGAACAGAAAAACAAAATTATTACTCATGGTACCTTTCAAAGTTGAAACAATCCAACAAGAATATTCGCCACTACTGCAATATGCTGTGTGTCAAAACACAATAACAGCGGTCATACAAACATACTCTCAAGATACAATAGCAGTTTATACGTCAGTGTTGATGAAGGAGATTATCTACCTCTGAATACCCTGACCGTGACTAACTCATCTGTATGTGAAAATTAATGAAAATATTCAAATTTTTGAAAATAACAGTCGCTGATGTTGAAGTGGAGTTGACAAAAATTGGAATCAGTTCCGTTTAATGGTAGTCGGGGATATAGTTTATTTACTTTTTGATTAATGAAACTTGACAATAAATAACGGGAAACTTTCAAAGCCAGACATTTTTCTATGCAGCATATGCTTTGCACAGATGTGAAGAAAAACGAACGTATTTTGTGTACATTGATAGTAAATAAAGCTTCTTCTATCATCCAGGTAGTGTACAAGTGTTGATGTATTGTAATATAACTACTGAAAAAGTATATGTATAATTGAAATGTATATCCAGATATACCCCGATAATTTTCGTTATGATTTCAATTGTACAAAAAATGCATTTGTTAAATTTTTATATTTTCATTAATATTCAGGTGGAATTATGTATAAAAAATTTGGGGGATATAATGGAGCTCCTATTCCGCAAAGATGTTGGACCTACATTCGATAATTTGACAGAAATTATTCATACTGCCCTGAGAACTATCGTACAACATCATATCAGACTGAAGAGAGACGATCCACTTGCTGTAAGTTTGATAAATTTTATGTCATAAATAATTCTATGATTTCTTGTGTAGTATTCTATTGTAAATTTTGTCTCAACTAATTTGTGTCAATACACATTTGGGAGTTTTAGGCATTGTCTGTTAAATATTTTTTTCGGCCAAGATGATACTTTTCATTTAAAATTCAATAGTAGTATATTTGTCTATATTAAAACCGACTAAGATATATGAGGGGTTCACCGTGAACCAAGTTCATGTTCGGTAGATTAGAGATATAGAGATTTGAAGTTGCTTGTCAGTGAATTATTCCTATATTATTCATTCTGATTTATTTGTATGAGGGACTTTCAGACCAATCGTAACTTAAATATTAGTGCCATGATCGAATCAAAAAATATAATATTATCAGCTTTTTAAATATTTTCCTTCTCTCATATTGGACTTGGTTCACTATTCTATGATTATTTTATGAACATAGCTCAACCTGAAACAAACAAACATTATTTTTGAAATGGGACTGATTTAGTAAATCCCTTTTTCACTTTCGGTACTAAAGTATGACCCTTACTACTTGAAGTAGGGATTTTAATGTTCCGTAGGGTCTATAGTGAACCGTTTATACAAAGCAAGTCAAAGTTGTCAAATCAAATTCAATCATTGATGGGTTACCTACCTAATTTTAGTAATAATTTGTCCGAATGTGTCTAAACATTGCATATACTGTGGGACCAAAGTAGGTCACTCATTTTTTTATGACACTTGAGTGATCCATTCGATCCCTATTAGGACTGTAGTCACTCATTTGATTCCTATCGGGACTAAAGTGGACCATTCTTAATTTACTTCATTATTTCAAAGCAAAATTGAAATCAATTAACATACGCTTTTCAAATTGAATTCTAACATTTATAAATCAACTTATTAATTAATGGTCCTCTACAAAGAGCATAGCTTTAGGGAATTAAACCACTCGCTTGATTAAATGAATCACGTGCTAAATAATATAGTGTACTGTAATGGTTCGATGCATTCTTGGAATTGGTTCACTGGTGCTCTGAAAGTTTTGCGAGAAAATTCTCACCACAAACAAATCTGCTTCATCTACAGCTTAAAACACTCAGTAAGGACTTGGTTCATGACAGCTCCAAAAAATAGAATCTTTCAACAATATTATAAATGGTCTATCTCAATAACTCGCTATATGGACTTGGTCCACTTCAGCTTCGAAAACCTCAGCATGTATAAAGATATGTGTAAAAACAATATTATGAGGATAGTTTTGCGGTACACAAAGTACAAAAAATCGAGCACATTTTATTTCAATGAAAATGAGACACGCTGTATTTGCTCATAAGTCGAAACCCAAAGGAATTACATACATCAAATCGATTTTGCGTATTCCGGGAGCTCTTGGATAAACCTAACCACATTAAATGGATAATCTACTATTTACGGAAATCCATGTCTTCATAATTGTCCATAAAAAAAGAACATCAGAAAACTACGATTGATCAACAACAATACACTATTTCATCAAGTAATTTATATAACCGTTTTGAAATAATTTCATTGTGAGGGCATGTTACAAGATTTAAATTTTTCAGGGGCATCTGGTTGCAGTTATGATAGACATATTCCGACAAATGACGAATGAGCATTACCTCGACTACATCAGCAAGTTCAATACCAATTTTGACATTCTAGACTTTCTAATGGAGATCCTCGTTGTATTCAAGGAACTCGTTAGCATATCTGTTTTCCCTAAGGATTGGTGCGACATGATAATGTTGCAAAACAGCATTATCCTGAAATCCTTGAGATACTTTTCCCACACTATCAGAGACTGTTTTTTTCAAAAGTTCGAACACGACGCTTGGAATAATTTTTTTCACTGTGCCATAGCCTTCATGACACAAGATGCACTACAGTTGGAAAATTTTTCTCGCAACAAGCGCACGAGAGTGAAGAATCTTTATAACGATATGAGGGTAGAGATGGGGTACGAGATCAAATCGATGTGGTTCAATCTAGGTAAATGTGGCAAGACATAAATTGTTCATTTCATCATATAATCTAATTGTTTTATTTTCAAGGTCAAAATAAGGTTCAATTCGTACCCTCTCTTGTCGGTCTCATCTTGGAAATGACCTTAATTCCGGAACCTGAACTACGACAAGCTACTATCCAGATATTTTTCGACATGATGCAATGTGAGTTCTACTCCTCAAAGTTCGAAAATGAAAGTTATGGGAATACCAAGCGAGATTCATCTCACATCAAGGCAAATTTCTCCGATTTTGAAAACGAAATGATAGTCAAACTCGATGCCCTGTTTGAGGGTGGTAAAGGTGATCATGAGTATAAAAATATGTTTCATGATATTATGATAGCTCTCTGTTCTCAACACACCACGATGAACGAGGAAGGGGTAAAGTTCGTTAAAATTGTGTCTAGACTGATGGAAAGTTTGTTAGAGTATAGGGACATCATCATAGATGAGAATAAGGATAATACTATGAGCTGCACTGTTAATTTGTTGGTGAGTAACATTTCTCTTGTAAAACTAAATTCCATTCTCAAGATGATAGTGGTTGGGAACTATATTTCACTATATTAGTCCATTTTATCTTGTATTTGGTGTATTTCATGCTACAGAACAGTGTTCAGTGTCAGAATGACCTATAAATTAGATATTGCATCCATCTGTATTACCGAGTATCTCTGTAAGATACTATCGACCATCAATAAAAGCAAGAATGTTAGTTCTTTACTTCTATATGTCAATATTTCATAATTTCTAATTTGATTTTATTCTTCCGATCCTACCACCGTCTGTTGGAATAAATTAAATGTTGCTTGTATCAATGATTTCCAGTTTGTTTTAGACAAACAAAATGTTGCATTTGCATCATGTTAGTATCGCATATATTGTTACTTCATTCATTGATATCATTCCCATGATTTGCAGGACTTCTACTCAGAAATTGATAAGAGGGAAATGTATATAAGATACTTGAATAAACTATTCGATCTCCATCTTGAATGTGAAAATTTCACAGAGGCGGCATATACATTAGAATTGCATACAAAACTTCTCAACTGGTCCGACGAACATTTGAATCCTTTGCTGAAAGGGGAAAAGTATGACACTGCGAGAACTCACCGACAATTGAAAGAAGTTCTTTACTATGCTATAATTGAAAATTACAGTAAAGGCAAGGTAAGTCTGAAATTCCCCTCAGGGGCTCACGACTTGTGAGTACGGGAATGGCAATCCCGAGGCACCCTAGCCGGATACTCATTAATTTTCAACTTGTCTTTGGTGGTATCCTCTTCACTCTTCAGTTTTCAATTTTTTTATTGGCCTCTCTTGGTCAATTCTTCTCGTTTCCGTCTCCCCTAAAGCCCAACCTCACCATTGTCGGGGAGGACAAGCCACGGCTGCTCGGCAGATTGAGCATTTTGGGAACATCTTTGCTCTTATCACTCAGATGGGTCAGTTTTGTTGACATCTGAGTGCAAGGTTGGGGCAATTTATGAACATCTGCTGATGTGGCCGCGGATTGATAACGAGGTTCTGGCAACCTAATCCAAGTTAAGGGAACCCGTGACGAGGGATCAATGGCACCGAGGTTATATGGTGTCGATAACGGGACCTCTGGGAATTAGGGCGACATCTCAGAGTGAACAGAAATAGCCCTGTGCAGGAGGCACCACAGGGCTGGACCAACCCCTTCCCCTATTCCTCGTAGTAGGAGAAGGAAAACTTTCGGCCTTATTCATGGACGAGACCAGGGCTCGGAAGAGTGGTCTTCAGGAACCTGAATAAAAAGGGTCTTTCAAACGAACATCTGGTACTGTGAACAGCAGTACTCACAGTTACTGTGGCGGCATTTGAATTGGCCCTTATATAAGAACCAGCGGTCGTATATGGTAAAAGCAATAACGGCATATTCGAGGTACAATGGTACAATGGGACAACAGGCCTGAGTGTCATCGGATACTTCGGTCAGACGAGCCTTGAAAGGAGGTGGAGTGTTGAGTGGGTACTGGGTACACCAACATGTAGGGATTTTCACACTACAATAAAGGGAATGATCCTTCGTGGTGTCCATATAGGATTTAGACCACCTTCGAAATAATAGTCTGAAATTCACAATAGCTTAACGATTCAGAAGAAGAGTGTATTGTTAGTGAAGAGATTGCACTTCGTAGAACACCGCATTCTCTAATTTGATATTTCTGTATAGAAACCTAACAATTATTAACAGTAACCGTCTCGTATACGGGTCTTCAATGTTCAAATGATAACAAGAAAAATTATGAAGCGTCTTCCGACAACCCAGTTTTATTGTCTTCACATGCACTACATTTCGATAGACAGACTGTATCCTCTTTATTTGCCTACTGAAGTGCTTTTCGCTTCCATAGAGAAAAATATACTTGCCGCTAAAAATTGTAGGTTTTTCATACATACGCATAAATACAATCCTTAACGCTTCAGTTTTTTTTTCATTTGCTGATGTCAGGTGCAAAATATTAGGTCGAGTTATATTCGTCATATGTCAGTGTCACTCTAGAACAAATACACTGCATGTTTTTTTACAAAACCCAGAAAAATTTTGTTCTCCTATTGTAACAAAATTTCTTTACTAACATTGATAATAACATATTTGTGCTATTGAGTAATCAATTTGTCTTGAAAAATATAACTCAACTTGAATGTTATCTATGCAGGGGTATCATTCTATTGCTACAGGCAACAATGATTTCATGTAATATAAGCAAGAAATCTTCAAGCTGCAGGACTACTTCTTATATTGAATATGTATGAAAAGTCCTGCAAAAGTGTATAATCTTATATGATTAAATTAAGATAAGGTTTACTTTGTAAAATAAAATTGAAAACCATATGGAAATCTGTATTTTTTTCTTCTTCCTTTTAGATGTGGGAATGTGCTATAAAAAAATGTCAGGAACTAGCAGAGCAGTATGAACAAGCAACTTTCGATTACGAACGATTGAGCGACCTCCATAATCGCATGGCTCTCTTTTACGATGATATTATGAAAAAAGCCAGAGCCGAGCCAGAATACTTCCGAGTAGGTTATTATGGAAAAGGTTTTCCTACATTCCTGAGAAACAAAGTGTTCATCTATCGTGGAAAGGAATACGAACGATTGGCTGATTTCAATGCTAGAATACTCAATGAGTTTCCGAAGGCGGAGTTGTTGAACAAACTTACCCCGCCTGGTGAAGATATTACTGGATCTGACAAACAATGTATCCTTTGAAAAATATTTGGTCCAAAGAATATTTTATTTTCATCATAAATCTTGGGAAATAATTCTACATTATGATTAACTAATCAAATTCGTTGGGCTCTGATTTATAATAATTTCGATTATGTAAAACCAAGTTAACTTTGTGGTGTTGCTTTTTATCTTGGAACGCACGAAAGAGAATCCCTATTATGTTCAGGGAACATTGTGCATACCTAACGAGGATAGGGAGAAGAGGTAGATATTACCAGTTTTTGAACTTTTGGAAGTTATAATTTCTCAGGAATACTTCCTTAGGCACAGAATTCCAAACCTTTGCAGTTCCATAGACAAAAATTACTCAGGAATACTTCCTTAGGCACAGAATTCCAAACCTTTGCAGTTCCATAGACAAAACTAGTTTCAGTAGAGTTGTTCGACATATCTCGAGGTAGACGACAGAAGAATGTGCTAACAGAGCTTGCTGAGTTCGTCTGACTGGTATTGCTATTGATGGAATGATTGCTGACATTTCTGAAGAACATCTTTCTTGGAAGTATTTTCAGAAAAGTGAAAAGTCGCCTACTGTCCTGCACTGTTCCAATGATGTCAAGTCAATGGGTGTGGCATTACCAATCAATTTACATCTTAAAATGAGTTCTCAATGCCTGATTCATTTTACTCCAAAGTGGTGGGAGAAGTGAATAAGATTTTACAAAAAAAATTTAAACCTTTTCCTTAATTCTTTGAAATTATGTTCGACTTGAGCCGATCGGAAAGAGTGCCAGGACCTACATTATTTTTGTATAATATTTGTCACAATACTTTTCGAAAAAAAGATAAAAATCGCATTTTTTTATTCACTTAATCCCGTTTGACGGTACTGTACATATTATTCATAACGTAGCAATTAAATCCTTACTTGATCTCCGACAGCGAAAGCCATATACTGCCAACATTTATGAATCTTGAGCTGAGATGTTAAACTTGATGTCAATGGCACTCTGCGGCATGATAGGCCCTAGATCGGCTGCGCAGATTTTTTTCCTTTCCTGGGTATTGGTTTGGATTCCATCTATTTTTCAGCAGGATAATAAACTTTAATGGTAAATAACTTTTAGAGGATCGGTGTTAATTCTGGTGCACACTTTTTGAGAATGATTGGTGGAATTAAGTAGCCCTATTCGTTTCAATGCCTTTAACAAAGTACCAAATAAACGGGAGTCATTGAGACAATCTGAGTTTTGATCTAATTTTGACACTGTATGCTTTTTTGATGCATCTATTGTTTGTCTTCAGTTTTTCCTGGCTTCAATTTATTCTGTTCTAATCACGGTGTTTTCGATACCTTCAGTGTTACGTTTACTAATCCATTTTCACTAGCAATGAACATATTCCTGAATGAGTTTGCCTAGATCTTCAAATAAATAAAGTCGACCCTATCATGGATGAGAAAAGACAAAGATTTTCTGGGAAACCGGTGTCCGACCAAATAGTCAAGTTCTACAGAGTTAACAACATACAAAAATTTACATTCTCGAGGCCTTTCACAAGAAGAGACCCACATGTCGAGACGGATAATGAATTTGCCCACTTGTGGTTAGAAAGGACCGAATTGACGACAACTTATCCTTTGCCTGGAATTTTGAGGTGGTTGCCTGTAGAACGGGTATCGGCTCAAGAAATATCTCCATTGAGGAATGCTATAGAAACTATAGAAAGAACAAATAAATCTCTAATGAATTACATTGCTGTGTACAATAAAGACAAGAGTATGCAACTGAATCCTCTTAGTCTAACTCTGAATGGTAAGTTATTCTCATTTATTTGTCACGAGTGATTTTTTTTTAGATTGGACGGTATTGTTTAGTAGAATCCATATCTCAATATGAATGGTTCTATTTGAAAAAAATTGCCTAGTAAATTTTCATTCAGGTATATAAAACATTGTATATTTTTTATATAGGTAGGTAACAAAATGTGTTTTCATAAAACCAAATTGACATGGCCGAGGGCTTTTCGTAAACCTTCAGTATGATAGAAATTTCGAGTTTATTCCATAGTTTAGTACCTTACTATACAGGCTGAGTCAGTTTTTTGTAGCACTTTGACAGCTCAAAAAAGACATATTTTTAAGGTGAAAACTATGTGAAAATATAGGCGTGGGAGTTTCGTTCCCGATGTAGCGGGTGTCAACGTTTTGATATTTTTTATGTCTTCAATTTTTTCCTACAAAATTTTATAATAGTGAATTGAAATTTGAAACACCTAGCACACTTCAAAAACTCAATATTTGAGCCTTTTTGTTTACACTTTTGGAGATTATACCCAATAGGCGAGAGGACTGTTTTTTTATTCGTTAAATATAATGATTACTCAGATACTTTTCAATCCCATATTCTTTCCGATTTTTTCGGTCGATTTTAAGGTGCTAAATTCATCAATATTGCCACGGTTATTTTGTAACGGCTAAAAATTCACCGCAAATAAAAGGGACAGACCATAGCACAGTTGCCGTATGTTTAAATACGAATGGGAACTCCAGAAATATTATTTATTTGATAATCCTCAATTATTTATTAGTAATATTCTTAATTAGCTCTAAAAATCCATTGTCTTGTAATTTTCCCTCTTATATGTTATGTCATATTGCAATTATTGCATCAAGGCTATTTAACTCTATTAGGTTGCCTCATATTCACCTGGCCTGACGTCACTGTTTCCCCAGTCGTCTTTTGTCGAACGGAAAAATGAAAATGGCGGAGGTGATAAACAAAACAAACAAATTTAGCATTGTGCAATCCAGTAAATTTTGATGAATTTGGATTTTTCCAATATGTTTTTGTATCCACGAGATAGTTCACTGTTCTCCCAAAACATGCAGCAAGTATAAAAAACTGAAAACAGAAGCCTAGAAAGATATGTTATGTTCCTCAGTGCTCCTGTTGTACAGACACATTACAGAAACTCAGTCAGATTCTTATTGCAATATCACTCCTTCAGGACTGATTACTGTTGGCATTTAAGGATATGGCGGTTGAGCTACTGATGAAGCATTTTTTAATAAAGAAAATGTTATTGGGAAGTCTGAACCTGATGATGGAATCATGGTGGATAAGGGCATACTGACAAGGGATGTGGAGAAATATGCTTGAAATTGATAAGGCCATCATTTCTGAGAAACAAGAAACAATTAACTAAAGAGGATTTCCTTCTGGATAAATTGAATGATTCTAACTCAATGGTTTTATTTCAGTATCAATTTGGAACATTATTGTTTGAGAATGAAATAATAAGAAAATGAATCAATAAAGAAGTCATCACAATTCATTCCATTTTATTAATGCAATAAAAGTGCAACATAATGAAAATATCTTTAAGATATCTTCCTCAGATTAACACAAAATTTTTCATAAAATTAACTGAAATTTGTATGTAAGTTTTGGAGAAAGAAGAATTATACAAGAAAATTAGTTTCTTTCAAGTTCATTAGGGACATTTTAGGGCCATTATCCCCAACTGAATTTATCCATAATAAGTGTGTCTCTCTTCCAACTTCACAATTTTTATACCATCTCCTATCAAGAAATGGCATTGTTCCACAAAATGTTCTGGACCTTTACCTACAATTTTGAGAAAATAATTCAAGCTGAATGTTATACACATTATTTAACAAACCTCTATGTAAGGACCTCAGTAAGGACACTTCTTTCAATTATTTCCATGGTCTTCCTTCCTGAAAAATAATTTTATATGGAGAAAATCCTAACCATGGAGAATATTGGGACACAAATTTGTTTGCATGATTTGAAATTCAATATTATTCTCAATGAACATTTTGAAAGAGCTTTGGATTCATATTCAACTCCATGCTGAACAAATTTATTTGAAAAATCCTTTGGAAAGAAGAAGTTGATTGCTTTTTTCCCAAGACTCCTTGCTACATGTAAAAATGAAGTAGCAAGTAGGTATAGCCCAAAATAATTCAAAATTAATTAAGTATACAGTTTTCATGATATGATATGTTAAAATGTAATAAACTCACCTGTGTTCCTGAGTACCATGCAATAGCTATAGTTGTTTACATTGAGTTCATTGGCTTCCAAACAGAAAACAAAATAGACTGATATACCCTGTAAAATGAACTTGAATTATATAAAAGGAGAATGATTTTAGGGGGTCACTTTCCTTCTTTTATTAAGTGGGTTGCAGAACTATTGAAATGGTTTTTCTGTATAATAGATCTTTGATTGATCTACTCTCTTTCATTATTTTCACCACTTCTGTGTGTTATATATGCAGCTTCACATATTCCAAGTCTTCATTCCTGAAATTTCATGTATTTTTTACCTGTGTGTGATAGATCAAAAGGGCACCTTCCTACCTGTCAATATAAGTCCCTATAAAATGTGTATACAAAACCATGACATGCCTGCTTCACAGGGACATTTACATTGCCACAGCTCATCATTTTCCTTTGGAATTATTTGAATCTCATGTAGAGGCTGCCCAAGAGCAGATGATTGTAAACACAGGCATTTTATAACATTTGTTTGTTCTATACATGTTCTATATCCACTCTTGATTCCACATATAATAATATTATGATGTGACCAGCCTTGAATAATACTACACCGTATTATTATACAACCTCTCACCCTCTTTCAAAGATATCTTCAGTCTTCTTGTCACCATGTTTTCAACTAAAGTCTAAAATTCGCGATTCTTTCGAATTCAAATTCAAAAATTTTTTCAATCCATTCGACAGTGACACAAAACGAAATCTACAATCACGTGGCGGGGAAACAGTGACGTCACGCCCCTCCGCGCACCCCCGCACCATAATGGTATACTATGAGGTAACCTTATAGAAGTTAATAGACCTTGATATTGCATATGATGAATTTGTGTCAATAATAATTATATTAATTCACACTAGAGGAGATTAGGTCCGGTAAAAGTGACAACACATGATTGTATTGTCAGTTCTCAGCGTTCAGCACAGCATTGCCAAGTCTCTAGCTTAGCCAACATTTACATGATGTTTTGTTATGAAGTAAAATAAATATTTTAACAAGCTGGTTGCACGAAATAGTCAGAAATCAATGCCTATATTATCATGGCTTCCGTTATGTCGAATGAAATATTTGATTTGGATAGTTTTATTTAACGACAGGGCTCTAACAACTTTTCAATGACTTGATTATAACTGGTGACTTGACAATCTTGCTTCATGGCTGGGAATAGAAGATTATCTGACAAATAATGAAACAGCATAGAAACTGACGTCACCATATAACCGACTTATCGAAGAACATTGCCAAATGGCGGCCATGGTCACTATGGTGGCACGTTTGAAATGAGATCTGAAATTCGACAACTTCGAACAACGCATAGACACATTATTTACATTAATAACGCGTAAGAAGTGTAGCAAAAATTAATTGAGGTTCCTAGCGATACAGTGAAGTAATGGGGGAGACCACCGATTTTTTTTAAACGACATTATCGTGAACTCTATACTGAAAAACTACCAGTGAATTAATTTTGAATTTTTTCATTCATGCTAAGACGATGAAAAAAATGAATTAGAATATGTCTATTTAAAAACACATAATCCCTGCGCCATTCAAAGTTTTGTCAATTCATTGGTGCGACGTCTTAGTCCCAACACGCCTATTGTCCTTGAACTCACCAATCACACTTCAACACTGCAGAATGACGAGGTATCAGAGAGAGATAGCTACAGTGCGGGACTAATACGTCACGGCTCCACCAACATATTTGGCTTCTCGAAATAACGAATGGAATTTATGCTGATTTCAAAACGATATAGATTCGATTCCCTTCAACTTCAACTCATAATATTGATTGTAGACCAAACGTAAATCATGATTCGTCGATTGAAAGAGGTTTGCACGGATTTCTTTCCTCAGTGGTCTTCCCCATTGAACGCCAATTGATCACTACCAGTCCACTCGCCCATTTAACCCTCTCGAACTTTTTTTATGTGCTGCCTCAGATTTCGATGAGGCATTGATTTAGAGTCTTTCTATTATTCATTTGGGTACTTTTTGACATCTCTTGATAATTGCCTAGAAAAACCTGGAATGATCGAAAACTTTCATGAGATGTATTGATGTAACTAAGTGGCAAAACATGAAGAATACAAAAAAAAGAATATAAATATATATTACACTGCCCTTATATCAGAAAGGTGGCTCCTACGCATCTCCTATCTCCTTATATGACATATATTCCGCATTAGTGTCTGAGAGAGAAACTCAATGATAGAATAGATGGTGTCGAGGCTGATATCGGTAATCAGGGAAATAAGTTAGATTTTGAAGTAGTGGATCTCAGAAAAAAGTTGAATAAAGTCGAGGCTGAGAATATTGAACTCAAAACTAGGCTGATTAGGATTGAAACAAAGATAAATGGCAAGAATTTCATATTTTGTGGGGTCGACGACGAAAGGGAAGATATAAGAAGTTTGCGTACCATCATCGGAGATATTATCAGCAAGAAACTGAAAGTTGCTTATCAATCTTTGAAAATAACTCAACGATATTATAAAGTGTAAATCTCATCTTGAAGGAATAAACATATATATCTCTGAATATCTTGCCGACGAGGATAGAAAATAAAGACAGCTACGAAGTTCTGGACTTGAAGAAGCGAATAACTAATAGCAAACAAGCCAAATTAACCCCCAACCGCTTCTCAAGGGTCAGGTTGATCCGAGTAGCAGTTGATTGAAATTTACAGAGCAATCAACAGCTGACGATTTATAGCAATATATGTATCG